GAGAGGATGTGGACAAATAGGAACACTTTTACACTGTTGGTGAGAGTGTAAACTAGTTCAGCCCTTGTGGAAGACAGTGTGGTGATTCCTGAAGGACCTAGAAATAGAAATTCCATTTGACCCAGCAATCCCATTACTGGGTGTATACCCAAAGGATTATAAATCATTCTATTATAAAGAAACATGCACACGTATGTTAATAGTGGCACTGTTTACAATAGCAAAGACTTGGAACCAACCCAAATGCCCATCTACGATAGACTGGACAAGGAAAATGTGGCACATGTACACCATGGAATACTATGCAGCCATAAAAAATGATGAGTTCGTTTCCTATGTAGGAACATGGATGAATTTGGAAACCATCCTTCTCAGCAAACTGACAGAACAGAAAATCACACACCACATATTCTCACTCATAGGCAGGTGTTAAACAATGAGAACACGTGGACACAGGGAGAGGAGTGTCACACTGGGGTCTGTTAAAGGGGGCCAAGGAAGGACAGCAGGGTGTTAGAGAGGTTGGGGAGGGATAACATGGGGAGAAATGCCAGATGTGAGTGATGGGGGGATGGAGGCAGCAAACCACGTTGCCATGTGTGTACCTACACAACAATCCTGCATGATCTGCACATGTACCCCAGAACGTAAAGTACAATTAAAAACAACAACAAGAAACAAAAAAATAGACTTTAAGTCAAAAATTGTCACAAGAGAGGTCATTATATAATTACAAAGGTTTCAATTCATCAAGTGGATACAACTATCATAATGTATATGCAGCCAACATTGAAGCACCTAAGTACATGAGGCAAATATTACCAGATTTGAAGGGAGATAGATGGCGATACAGTAATAGTAGAGGATTTCCATATCTCACTTTCAACAATATACAGGTCATGCAGACAGAAAACCGTAAGGACCCAGAAAACTTAAACAACACTATAGACCAAATGAACCTATCAAATATAAACCTAACATTTCAATGAACTGTAACAGAATATATACCCTTTTCAAATGGACATAAAACAATTTCTAGGATAGATCCTATGTTAGACTACAAAATAAGCCTTAACAAATTTAAGAAGACCGAAATAATGTTAAACATCCTTTCAACTCACAATGGTATTACATTAGAAATCAGTAACAGGAGAAAAATCAGAAATTTACAAATACGTAGAAATTAAACAACATACTCCTGAATACTGAGTCAGAGAAGGAATCAAAAAAGAAAATAAAAAAGTATCCTGACACAAGTGAAAATGGAAAAACGACATATGAACCTTATGAGATGCAGTAAAAGCAGTTCTAAAAGGGAAGTTTATAGTGACAAGTGTCTACATTTAAAAAAAGAAATATTTCAAATGAACAATCTAATATTATACCTCAAATAACTAGAAAAGAGCAACTAAATACAAAGTCAGCAGAAGTAAGAAAATAAAGAATGGAGCAGAAAAAAATGAAATAGTCTACAATGACAACAGAAAGATCAACAAAACTAAGATTTGATTTTGGAAAGGTAACACTGACAAATCTTTAGTTATATGATGGGAAAAAAAGGAGAGATGACTCTCAGATAAGTATAATTACAAATGTAAGAGAAGACATTATAACTGGTAACAAAGAAAAACAAAGGATCATAAGAGACTATGAACAATTATGCACAAATTGGATAACCTAAAAGAAATGGATAAATTCCCAGAAACATACATCCAACAATATCAAACCATGAAAAAAATGAAGCTGGTATTGCCCCTGCCATGGATCTGCTCTGAGTGTGGCCTTTGCATTCAGCCTGGCCCTTCCCTAAGCCTGCTCTGTCTTGTACCTGGCCCTGCAGTGCTCTGCCCTGGACCAACCTTACCATTACCTAGGCTGTACGGGCCCCAAACTGACCTTGTCTTGGCCATGTCCTATCCTCCCCCTGTGCTGGCTCTGCCCTGGCCCCACCCTGACCCTGGATTGGCCATGTCCTATCCTTCCCCTGTCCTGGACCTACACGGGCCCTACCTTGGCTCTGGCTTGGCCTCTCATTCTGACATGGCCCCAGGTCTGCGAGTGGTCCTGGTCCTGTTCTGCCCTGACGTGGACTTGGACACGTCCTGGGTCTGATTTGTCCCAGTCCTGCCTTAGCATGTCTGTGCCCTGCCCCACCAAGGCTCTTCCTGTTCTGTCCTATCCTGGCATTCCCATGGCCCCATCATGTCATTGCCCTGTATCACCAGGCACTGGTTTTGCCCTGGCCCAGATTAGCCCTAACCCCTCTTTTGACCTGCACTGACTATGCCTTGACTTTTGCCCTGTTCTCTTATGACCTGACTCTGGCTCTAAAATGCCCTGCCCTGCCATATCCCTGCCCTTGTCATACAGGGCCCCTGGCCCTGGCCCTGGTCCTGTCATAATCCTGACCCTAGCTGCCTGTATCCTGACATTGCTCTTGCCTATATCCTGTGCCTTGCCCTAACCCTAGTCTGACCATGGCTCTGATCCTGTCCTGGGTATTTGCCTGCAATCTACCTTGGTACATTGTTCTGGCCCTAGTCCCAACCCTGGCTCTGTCACCATCTTGTCCCTACCCTTGTTTCTGGTCCTGCCATGACCCTGACCCTGCTTTTGCTTGGGCTTTACCTTGGCACTGACATTGCCCTTTCCAGGTGCCTGCCCTGCCACTTCTCTGGCCCTGATCTGGATCTTTGCATTGAACCTATTCTCCTTTGCCTTGTCCTATCCTGGACTGGCCCTGCTCTGTCTTGGCACTGAACTGATTCTGTCACGTTCTGGTCCTCCCATTACCCTGCCCAACACTGTCCTGGTTGTGTCCTGGCCCTGACCCCTCCCTGGTCCTGCCCTGACCCTGTCTCAGATCTAACCCTGACTAAGCCCTAGACCTTCCCTGCTCCTGCCCTGGACCTGTGCTGGCCATCATTTGATTCTGACCCTGCTGCTCCACCTTACTCTGGTCATGGCACCAGGCCTGCCGGTAGTCACTGTCCTGGTCATGTTCTGGCCCTGACCTGGATGTGGACATATCCTGAGCCTGATTTATTCTGGCCGTGCCTTGATCTGTCTCTGCCCTGGTCCATCAAGACGTTTCCCAGCCCTGCCATGGCCTATGTGTGCCATTGCCTAGTCTTACCCTCCACTGGTTGTGCCTTTACCCTGCCCAGCCCTAGCCACTACCTGAATGTGCTCTGACCCTGCCTTAGCTTTTGCCCTGCCTTCTCTATGATCTGCCTTGGCCCTGACCTTATTTAGCCAGGGTGCTCCCTGGGCCCTACCGTATCTCTGGCCATAGACCATCCTTGATCCAGGTCCTGACTCTGCCCTTCCCTGCCCATACCCCTAACCCTGTCCTGGACCTTCCCCTGCTCTTTAGTGCCCTTAGATGCCCTGTCCTTGGTCTTACTCTGCATTGACCCTGTACTGGATGTCTCTGCCTTGCCATTTCCTTAACCATGCCTTCTCCCTGGATCTTCCCCAGGCTGATGCTGGAACTACCCTGTCCATGACACAATCCTACCCTGTCATCCAATGTCCTGGCACCAACATACCGTGGCCCACTGCTTTTCCTGGCCCTGTTCCTAGTCCTGCGCCTGCTATGACCCTGCCCTGCTTTTGGCCATACTCTGTTCTACCCTATCTCTCCCGTCACTAACCTGGTCTTGGTCTACCCTGTACCTGCCTTTGCATTGTCTTGGTTCTGGAATGCCCTAGCCCTGCACTTGCTCTGGACTCTCCCTAGTCCTGCCTTCTCTGTGGCCCTACCCTTCCTCTGGCACTGTTCCTGGCCCAGTCTTGGCCCTGGCCTGGCCCCTGGCCCTTTGTTGATCCTGGCATGACCCTGTCCCTGATCTCTCTCTTGTCCTGGTCTTGCCCATTTGCCCTGTCCTACCTTGGACCGCACGCTGCCCCTGAACCAGGCCTGACCCCTGCTCCTGACCCTAGCACTGTCATGGTGCTGGCCCTGTCATAACCCTCCCTCAGCCTTGTCCTAGACCTGGTCATGGTCTTGCCCTATCATGCACCCTGACCACGTCCTGGTTCTTATTTGCCAAGCCCTACTCTGATGTGCTGTTCTGGCCCGAGCCTCCACCCTGGTCCTGTTGCTTTCCAGCCCGAGTCCTGTTGCCAGTCCTGCCATGATCCTGGTGCTGCTCTTTCTTTGCCTTGAACTTGTCCATTCATTGAACCAGCCCTGCCTTTGTCCTGTGCTATCCTGGCCTGGCTCTGCCTTGTCACAATGCTGACACGGCCCTGACATGGGCTGACCCTTCCACTGCCCTGCCTGACCCTACCCTAGTTATTCCCTGGCCCTAACCTCATCCTGGTCCTAGTCTTGCCCCTTTGACCTGGCCCTGCTCTACCTTGGCCCTCACCCTAGCACAGACCTGGCCCCAGTCCTGACCTTGACCACTGGCCCCTGCTCCTAACCCTGGTCCTGTCATGGTCCTGCCCCAGCCTTGTCCTAGACCTAGCCATGGCACTAACCCTGCCCTGGCACTAACCTGCTTAAGGCTTTACCATGGCACTGGCCTGGCCCTGGCCCTGATTTGCCTGGGCCCTAACCCAGTACACGCTTTTCTGGCCCTTGCCCTGACTCTGGCCCTAACCCTGTTGCTGGTCCTGCCATGGCCCTGGCTCTGGCCCTGAGGATCTTTCTTTGCCTTGTTGCTGACATTGCCATTTTTCCTGGTCTGGTCCCAGCCTTGGCCCTGCCCCAGCACTTCTCTGGTTCTGGTCTGGACCCTGGCCCTGCAATGAATTTGCCCTGCCTTTACCCTGTGTGACCCCAGTCTTGTCCTGCCCTGTCCAAGTGGTAACTTGGCCCTGCCATGGCCTGGTCCTCCCGCTGCCCTACCTATCCCTGCCCTGCTCCCAACCCCTTCCTCTTCCTGTCTTGGATCTGACCCTGATTCAGCTCTGGACCTTCCCTGATCCTTCCTCAGCCCTTGCACTCAGAGCTGTCATTCAGCCCTGGTACTACCTGATCCTGCCTTGGGACTTGCCCTGCCCTATGGCCTCATTCTAGTACTTCCCTGTCTTGCCCTGAACTGGCCCTGGCCCTATGATATTCCTGGACCTGGTCCAACCCTTAACCTGGTCCTGATCTGCCATAGCCCTGCCCCTGCAAACTCTGGTCTTGCCCTCAACCTGCAATGGTCCTGCTCTTCCCTGGCTCTGTCTTGGTCCTGGTCCTGCCTTCTTATCAGACTTGCCCTGGCCCTGCCCTGGGATGACAATGCCAGGCCTACTCTGTCCATGATATAATCCTGTCCCTGCACTGCCCTCCTCTGCCCTGGCCCTGCCATGTCCTGAGCCCAGTGTTTTCCCTGGCCCTACTGCTAGTCCTCCCATGCAATGGACCTCCCCTGCTTTTGGCCAGGCCCTGTGCTATCTTAGTCCTGCTCTGCTCTGGTCCTACCCTTACCATACTCTGCCCTGGACCTGCCTTTGTCTTTTCACGGTTCTGCTCTGGCTCTCTCCTTGCTCTGGACCTTCCCTGGACCTGGACTTGGACTGGTCCTGTCCTTGATGCAGCCATGCCTTGTCCCTGGACCTTCCCTAGCTATAGCATGGCACTGACCCTGCTCTGTTCAAGCCATGGACCTCACCATGCCCTGGTGAAGCTGTGTCTTTGCCGTTCACTGGCCCTGCCTTAACCCTGTGCTATCCTAGTCCTGCCCTAGCTTTGACCTTACCCTGGCCCTACTCAGGCCCTTGCTTGGCCTTGCCCCTCTGTTATGGCCCAGCCCTGGCACTAACCTAGATCCTAGTCCTGGCCCTGCCCTGCTTGAGGCCTTACCCTGGTTCTTCCCTGGTCCTGATCCTGTCTGACCCTGAAATGCCTGGCCTTACCCTGGTCTTGCACTGCTCTGTCCCTGACTCTGGCTCTGTCACTGCACTAGCCACAGCCCAGTTGCTGGTGATGCTATGGCTCTGGCCCTGTCCTTGTCTTGGCTCCTCCATGGCCCTGCCTTCTCTGTGGCCCTTCAGTGGTCTTGCCCTTGCCATAAATCTGCTCTGAGTGTGGCCTTCGCATTCAGCCTGGCCCTACCCTAAACCTGCTCTGTCTTGTACCTGGCCCTGCTGTGCTCTGCCCTGGACCAACCTTACCATTACCTGGGCTGTACAGGCCCCAAACTGACCCTGTCTTGGCCATGTCCTATCCTCCTCCTGTGCTGGCTCTGATCTGGTCCCACCCTGTCCCTGGATCCTGGCCATGCCAGGAACCTGCACTATCCTTGCCCTTGTCCTGTCCCTACCCTGGCCATTTCCTGTCCTTGCCTTCATCTTGGCACCACCCTGGCCTGGCCCTTGCCTTGGCCCTCCCCTAGGTTTGACCCTACCCTGGCCATCACTCTAGACTTGGCTGGGCCCTGTCTTGGACCTGACCACAGCACGGACCCAGCACTTTGGGAGGTGGAGGCAGGTGGATCACCTGAGGTCGGTAATTCAAGACAAGCCTGACCAACAGGATGAAACTCTTATCTTTACTGAAAACATAAAATGTAGCTGGGTGTGGTAGCAGGCACCTGTAATCTCAGCTACTCAGGAGGCTAGCACAAGAGAATTGCTTGAACCCAGGAAGCGGAGGTTGCAGTAAGCCGAGATTGTGCCACTGGACTCCAGCCTGGGAAACAAGAGCAAGACTCCATCTCAAAAACCAAAAAGATTAATGGGCAAAATAGTTCCAGGTTTCTAAATTTGACTGTTCTGAGCAGTAAGCTTTGAATCCTGAAAAATTTACTTACCAGAACATTCTTTAGTGATGTCCAAGAAGTGAGGTGGGTCTGCTCTGCAGAGATGAGTCAGGAGTAGTGAAGAAGCAGGTGGCTTGTCAACTCTGCCACACCAGAAATGATGCTCAGCAGGGCTTAGCAACAGCAGTCTCCTCTCTGAACCCACAAGGTAAAGTCTAGGAGGAAAGAATAGGGGAGTTAGCCATGTTACAGAGGAACTCCTGAGGTTGGGAGGCCCCAATGGAAGGAAAATGCCAGGAAAATAGAAGCTTCTGGCCACAGTGTTCTCACGTGGATTGTAATTAAAAAGTAGCTTTGGGAGCCGTCCCAGAGCAAGCTCATGAGGAGAGTTGGGGTGACAGAGCTGCCTGGCAGTTCTGGAGTTAAGCCCGGCCCTGGAGAAGCTAAGTCCAGGGGGCCACCTGCATCTACATGGCTGGAATCAAGTCCATTACCTATTCTCCTCTTCCCTCCAAACTGTCACTGTAAGATCCTGCTCTGCCACTTACTAGCTGTGTGACCTTAGGCAAGTTATTTAATGTTTCTGAGCCTCAGTAAATGGCAGCTAATATTATTGTTTATTGTTATCAAAAGTGGTTAAATTTTTATAGGGTCACGCATGACCATTATCAGTTAGCACTGGGAAAGGCAAACATTTCTTCTGACACATTAGATGATAAATATTTAGACACTGTAAGCCAACAAGCTTTACATATATATATATATATATATATATATGTATATTGTTCATACATACATAGCTACAGGTACTCAGACACTGAAAACAGAAATCAAATAATGCCCTAAAATGTTCCAGTCCATTTACCTTGAAATTAACAAAAAACCTGAAATACAGATTATAATTAAATAATACTATAATTTCATGATTTTCAACAATTAAATCATCAAAAACTATTCAACTAGAATATTCAACACTGGCCAGGTGTGCTGGCTCACACTTGTAATTCCAGCACTTAGGGAGGCCAAGGCAGGGGGATCACTTGTGGACAGGAGTTTGAGACCAGACTGGCCAACATGGTGAAACCCTATCTCTACTAAAAATTAGCTGGGTGTGTTGTTGTGTGCCTATAATCCCAGCTACCTGGGAGGCTGAAGCATGAGAACTGCTGGAACCAGGGAGGCAGAGGCTGCAATGAGCCACGATTATGCCACTGCACTCCAGCCAGGGTGACAGAATGAGACTTTCTCTCCCACCCGCCAAAAATCAATAAATAAAAAATAAAAAATTAGTTGGGGAGAGGACTCAAGATGGTGCTGTGAGAACAACCCAGGATTGGAGCTCGCGTTGAGTCTGCAGAGAGGTGAGTCGGCGCTGCATTTACAGACTGATCTTTGTTGCCCACGGAATGGGCAAATTCCCAAGTGAAGAGGAGACACGGGACGCCAGGCAGAACCTCCTCCTGGGGAAGCCGGCAGCTGGGGTGGTGGCTGCCGGTCCTGCCCAGTGCTCCCCACAGGGCGTGCTAGTCCGGGTGCCCTGTTGAACCGGCAACCGGAGATGTGAGAGGGCTGGACTTGAGACTGAGCTAGACTTGGACAGTGGGCCAGCCCAGGGGATTGCAGGGACAGAGCGTTCGGGGTGGCCTAGTGGGACGAACAAAACCGCGATTTCAAACAAGCCCTTTGCAGACGGCCTGAGACGCTCTGTGGGGGAGGGGCGTCCACCATTACCAAGGCAACCCGCCCCAACTGAGATACACGCCCATTGTTGACACAGCAAGCCGTTGCCGAGGCAACCAGTCCCTACTGAGATACACGCCCACTGCTGACGCAGCCTGCCGTTGCCGAGGCAACCCGCTACAACAGAGAGACTCTGCAGCAGGGCCTGGCAGAGAACACAGCAGAACAGCAGAGCCAGGGCGAACCTCACAACAGCAGGGCGGAGCCTCCGCAGGCAAACAGTGGCTAGTCTGCATCCTAGCTGGGCAGGACCTCAACGGACATCCAAAAACAAAGCCCAAACCCCTCAACACAGAGTATTTGAGAAAAAAAGGGTTTTTTTAATGAGCTCTGTTGCAGCAGAATCAAACATAGCAGCCTAACAGCCCTGAATGAACAACAGAGCTCACAGCTCAGCAATTGAGCTCCTATAAAGTACAAACTGTCTCCTCAAGCAGCACCCTGACCCCTCTATATCCAAAAGACTGACACTAGGCAGGCATCATTCTGGGACAAAGATAGCAGAAAAAGAAACTGGTAGAATCCCTCGCTGTGCCACAGCTGCTAGAGGTGCACCCCAGACAAGCAGGGTCTGGAGCGGACCGCAGCAGTCGTACAGCGAAGGGGCTAGACTGGTAGAAGGAAAAACAAGCAACAGAAATACTTCATCATCAACATTCTGGGTGTCCACTCAGAGACCCAATTGAAAAGTCAGAAACTACGCAGATGACAAGCGGACAAATCCACAAAGATGGGAAGAAACCAGCGAAAAAAGGAGGAAAACACCCGAAACCAGAACACCTCCCCTCCTAGAAAGGACCAAAACGCCTCACCAGCAAGGGAACAAAGCTGGACGGAGAATGACTGTGATGAAATGATGGAATTAGACTTCAGAAGGTGGATAATGAGAAACTTTTGTGAGCTAAAAGAACATGTATTAAATCAATGCAAAGAAACTAAGGAACTTAAAAAAAGATATGAGGAAATGATAACAAGAAAGGATAACTTAGAGAGGAATATGAATGAATTAAAGGAGCTGAAAAACACAATACGAGAAGTTCGCAAAGCATGAACAAGTTTCAATAGCCGAACTGACCAAGCAGAAGAAAGAATATCTGAAGTCGAAGACCAAGTCAATGAAATTAAACGAGAAACCAAGATTAGAGAAAAAAGCGCAAAAAGGAATGAACAAAGTCTCCAAGAAATGTGGGACTATGTGAAAAGACCTAACCTACGTTTGATAGGTGTACCAGAAGGGGACGAAGAGAATGAATCCAAGCTGGAAAATACTCACCAGGACATCATCCAGGAAAATTTCCCCCACCTAGCAAGACAGGCCAACACTCAATTGCAGGAAATACAGAGAACACCACAAAGATATTCCACAAGAAGAGCAACCCCAAAGCACATAATCGTCAGATTCAACAGGGATGAAATAAAGGAGAGAATACTAAGGGCAGCCAGAGAGAAAGGTCGGGTCACCCACAAAGGGAAGCCCATCAGACTCACAGCAGATCTCTCGGCAGAAACACTACAAGCCAGAAGAGAGTGGGGGCCAATATTCAACATCCTTAAAGAAAAGAACGTTCAACCCAGAATTTCATATCCAGCCAAACTGAGCTTCAGAAGTGAAGGAAAAATAAAATCCTTTGCGAACAAGCAAGTACTCAGAGATTTTGTCACCTCCAGGCCTGCTTTACAAGAGCTCCTGAAAGAGGCACTACACATAGAAAGGATCAACCAGTACCAGCCATTCCAAAATCACACTAAATGCTAAAGAGCATCAACATAATGAAGAATCTACAACAACTATCAGGCAAAACAGCCACATAGCATCAAAATGGCAGTATCAAATTCACACATAACAATATTAACCCTAAATGTAAATGGACTAAATGCACCAATCAAAAGACACAGATTGGCAAATTGGATAAAAATCCAAAACTCATCAGTGTGCTGTATCCAGGAAACCCATCTCACATGCAAGGATACACAAAGGCTCAAAATAAAGGGATGGAGGAAGATTTACCAAGCAAATGGAGAGCAAAAAAAAAGCAGGAGTTGTAATTCTCATCTCTGATAAAATAGACTTTAAAGCAACAAAGATCAAAAGAGACAAAGAAGGCCATTACATACTGGTAAAAGGATCGATACAACAAGAAGAGCTAATGATCCTAAACATATATGGACCCAATGCAGGAGCACCCAGATACATAAGGCAAGTTCTTAATGACTTACAAAAGGACTTAGACTCCCACACAATAATAGTGGGAGACTTTAACACTCCACTGTCAATAGCAGACAGATCAACCAGACAGAAAATAAAGAAGGATATCCAGGGCTTGAACTCAGACCTGGAGCAAGCAAACCTGATAGACATTTACAGAACTCTCCACCCCAAATCCACAGAATACACATTCTTCTGAGCACCACATCACACCTACCCTAAAATTGACCACATAATTGGAAGTAAAGCACTGCTTAACAAATGCAAAACAACTGAAATCATAACAAACAGCCTCTCAGACCATAGTGCAATCAAGTTAGAACTCAGAATTCAGAAACAGACCCAGAACCGCACAGCTTCATGGAAACTGAACAACCGGCTCTTGAATGTTGACTGGGTAAACAATGAAATGAAGGCAGAAATAAAGAAGTTCTTCGAAACCAATGAGAACGAAGACACAACGTGCCAGAACCTCTGGGACACATTTAAAGCAGTCTCTAGAGGAAAGTATATAGCAATAAGTGCCCATATGAGGAGAATGGAGAAATCCAAAATTGACACCCTATCGTCAAAATTGAAAGAGCTAGAGGAGCAATTTCAAAAAAACTCAAAACCCAGCAGAAGACAAGAAATAACTAAGATCAGAGCTGAGCTGAAGGAGATTGAGACACGAATAACCCTTCAAACAATCAATAAATCCAAGAGCTTGTGTTTTGAAAAGATCAACAAAATAGACAGACCACTAGCCAGATTGATTAAAAATAAAAGAGAGAACAACCAAATAGATGCAATAAAAAATGATAAAGGGGAAATCACCACAGATTCCACAGAAATTCAAACCATCATCAGAGAATATTACAAAGAACTCTATGCACATAAGCTAGTAAACCTGGAAGACATGGATAAATTCCTGGACTCCTGTGTCCTCCCAAGCCTTAACCAGGAGGAAGCTGAAACTATGAAAAGACCAATAACAAGGTCTGAAGTTGAGGCAGCAATTAAGAGCCTACCACACAAAAAAAGCCCAGGTCCAGACGGGTTCACAGCCGAATTCTACCAGACACACAAGGAGGAGCTGGTACCATTCCTTCTAAAACTATTTCAAACAATCCAAAAAGAGGGAATCCTTCCCAAATCATTTTATGAGACCAACATCATTCTGATACCAAAACCCGGCAGAGACCCAACGAGAAAAGAAAACCTCAGGCCAATATCCATGATGAACATAGATGCAAAAATCTTCAATAAAATACTGGCAAGCCGATTGCAACAGCAAATCAAGAAACTTATTCATCATGATCAAGTAGGATTCATCCCGGGGATGCAAGGCTGGTTTAGCATACGCAAGTCTATCAGCGTAATTCACCACATAAACAGAACCAAAAACAAAAACCACATGATTATCTCAATTGACGCAGAGAAGGCATTTGACAAAATTCAACAGCCCTTGATGCTAAAAACCCTCAATAAACTCGGTATTGATGGAACGTATCTCAAAGTAATAAAAGCTATTTATGAAAAACCAAGAGCCAATATCATACTGAATGGGCAAAAACTGGAAGCATTCCCTTTGAAATCTGGCACTAGACAAGGATGCCCTCTCTCACCACTCCTATTCAATATAGTACTGGAAGTTCTAGACAGAGCAATCAGGCAAGAAAAAGAAATAAAGGGTATTCAAATAGGAAAGGTGGATGCCAAATTGTCTCTATTTGCAGACGACATGATAGTATACCCAGAAGACCCCATTGCCTCAGCCCAAAAACTCATGAAACTGATAAGCAACTTCAGCAAAGTCTCAGGATATAAAATCAATGTGCAAAGATCACAAGCATTCATCTACACCAATAACAGACTTAAAGAAAGCCAAATCAAGAACGAACTGCCATTCACAATTGCTACAAAAAGAATAAAATACCTTGGAATACAACTCACAAGGAACGTAAGGGACCTCTTCAAGGAGAACTACAAACTATTGCTCAACGAAATCAGAGAGGACACAAACAGATGGAGAAACATTCCATGTTCATGGTTAGGAAGAATTAATATCGTGAAAATGGCTATACTGCCCAAAGTAATTTACAGAATCAACGCTATCCCCATCAAGCTACCATTGACTTTCTTCACAGAACTGGAAAAAACCACCATGAACTTCATATGGAACCAAAAGAGAGCCCGCATAGCCAAGTCAATTCTAAGCAAAAAGAACACAGCGGGGGGCATCACACTACCAGATTTCAAACTATACTACAAGGCTACAGTAATCAAAACAGCATGGTACTGGTACCAAAACAGAGATATAGACCAATGGAACAAAACAGAGGCACCGGAGGCAACACAACATACATACAACTATACAATCTTTGATAAACCTGACAAAAACAAGCAATGGGGAAAGGATTCCATGTTTAACAAATGGTGTAGGGAAAACTGGCTAGCCATGTGCAGAAAGCAGAAACTGGACCCCTTCCTGACACCTTACACTAAAATTAACTCCAGATGGATTAAAGACTTAAACATAAGACCTGGCACCATAAAAACCCTAGAAGGAAATCTAGGCAAAACTATCCAGGACATAGGAGTAGGCAAGGACTTCATGAACAAAACACCAAAAGCATTGGCAACAAAAGCCAAAATAGACAAATGGGACCTAATGAAACTCCACAGCTTCTGCACGGCAAAAGAAACAGTCACTAGAGTGGATCGGCAACCAACAGAATGGGAAAAAATTTTCGCAGTCTACCCATCTGACAAAGGGCTGATATCCAGACTTTACAAAGAACTCAAACGGATTTACAGGACAAAAACAAATAAGCCCATTCAAAAGTGGGTGAAGGATATGAACAGATACTTTACGAAAGAAGACATATATGAGGCCAACAATCATATGAAAAAATGCTCATCGTCACTGATCATCAGAGAGATGCAAATCAAAACCACATTGAGATACCATCTCACGCCAGTTAGAATGGCGATCATTAACAAATCTGGAGACAACAGATGCTGGAGAGGATGTGGAGAAAAAGGAACACTTTTACACTGTTGGTGGGAGTGTAAATTAGTTCAACCATTGTGGAAGACAGTGTGGCGATTCCTCAAGGCCTTAGAAATAGAAATTCCATTTGACCCAGCAATCCCATTACTGGGTATATATCCAAAAGACTATAAATCGTTCACTATAAGGACACATGTACACGAATGTTCATTGCAGCACTGTTTACAATAGCAAAGACTTGGAATTAACCCAAATGCCCATTGATGATAGACTGGATTGGAAAAATGTGGCACATATACACCATGGAATATTATGCAGCAATCAGAAATGATGAGTTTGTGTCGTTTGTAGGGACATGGATGAATCTGGAGAACATCATCCTCAGCAAACTGACACAAGAACAGAAAATGAAACACTGCATATTCTCACTCATAGGCGGGTGATGAAAAATGAGAACACATGCACACAGAAAGGGGAGTACTAAACACTGGGGTCTATTGGGGGGAAAAGGGGAGGGCCAGTGGGAGGGGGAGGTGGGGAGGGATAGCCTGGGGAGAAATGCCAAATGTGGGTGAAGGGGAGAAGAAAAGCAAAGCACACTGCCATGTGTGTATCTACGCAACTGTCTTGCATGCTCTGCTCATGTACCCCAAAACCTAAAATCCAATAAAAAATTAAAAAAAAAATTAGTTGGGTGAGGTAAAGACCGCAGAGAGTTGAGATATCACCACTGCATTACAGCCTGGGAAACTGGAGTAAGACTCTGTTTAAAAAAGTAATTGTCAAAACCAGAACAAATTTAAATTTCAGAGAGGAACTGAAGTCACAAATCAAAGCCAAATGTTTAAACATCAAATTTTTTTTCTATTATCACATTAAATGAAAACTTTAGCTTCTTACCAGATAGCAGCTAAACTGGAATGCAAATGTAAGCTATGAGGAAACTGGAAGGGCCGGGCTGTCCAGTACTGATGGACCACGTGATGTTCCAGTCAGCTTCGGTCATCTGGCTCAACTGCTTGAAAGAAATGTAGTAAGTTTGAGTTATTATAGTTAACAACAACAAGAAACACTGGGTCACAATTAACTGGACTTACAGATCCATTCATATGTATAGTTGAAAATGGCTTTTTAAAAACAACAGCTACCTAACAACATTTACTTACATCTGATCATTTATTTTAAACCACATATATCAGCTGGGTTTTATGGCTCACGTGTATAACTCCAGCCATTTGGGAAACCAGGATGGGATGATCACTTGAGTCTAGGAGTTCAAGACCAGCAACACATAAACACGTACTAAATTTAATTAATGTTTTTGACTAGAAAGCTAAAAAAATTGTCCCACTTATAAAAAGATGTAAATAGTATATGTTAATAGTCCAATAACCATTAAGTAAATTAAAAGGGTAACCAAAGACCTTCCCAACCACTCCCAAAGCCTCAGCACTGGTGCTAAATTTTGAAGGATTAGATGTCTATCTTACATGAGTCATTTGAAAAAGCAGAAAAAGAGAAAGCCACCTAACATTTTATAAGGCTAATATAACAGTGATGCTTAAACCAGATAAAAACATGATAAATGTAATTCATCAAAGAATAAAGATGAAAAATCTTACATTAAAAAAGAGCTAACCTGCTGGGCTCAGTGGCTCACACCTGTAATCCCAGCCTGGGTTCATCTCTAACATAGTGAAACCTCATCTCTACAAAAAAATAAAATACAATAAAATTAGCTGGGTGCAGTAGCATGCACCTGAAGTCCCAGCTTCTTAGGAGGCTGAGGTGGGGGACAGCTTGAGCCCAGGAGGTTGAGGCTGGAGTGAGCTGTGATCATGCGACTGCACTCCAGCCTGAGTGACAGATCAGGACTCTGTCTTTAAAAAAAAAGTGAATCCAAAATTGAACCCAATCTACTAATGTACTAAAAAAAACCATGGTCAAACAATTTTAGGTGAAGAATTCAATGATAATTCATTATCAGAAAGTCTATCAGTGTATTATTAGGATAAAAGAGAAAAGTTATGAGATTATCTCACAGATAAATAATAGCCTTTAATAAAATTTCAACATTCATTTATGATTAAAGACTTGTAGAAAAAAAGGAATAGAAAGATACTGTCTTAACTTGATAAAGGCTACATACCCCAAACTGATGCCAAACCACCACCACACTTAACGGAGGAGTTTCAAGTATAACCCCCATTAGGATGAGACCTAGTTGTCCGGGAAGCCGACTCCTATGAGCTGTTGCTTCTGCTATGGAGTAGAGGGCTAGGCTGTTGGGCCAGAAAAGAGATTAGATCACGACATCACAGAGAAGACACAGGCCTAAGAACTAGCAGGAGGACATAAAGCCACATTTGCAGATGACATTAAAACCATATTTGCCCATAAAAACCAGTATTTGCAGATGACACTAATCATCTATATAAGAAACCAAATGAAATCAACAGAAGTATTATGATTCATATCAGAGTTCAACAAAAAAGCTGCACATAAGAAAACCAGTATTATTTCCTCTACATCAGGAATAAACAAAAGTATCATTCAGAAAAATAAAAACTGTAACAGATGTAGAAATTAACAAAAGAACCCTCAAGATCTTCAAAAAGAAAATTTCCAAAATCTAGTAAAAGATAAAGAGTTACAATAAATGTAGATATTAACATGTTAAGGCAATCAAACCTCCCCAAGTTAGATCTATAAATTCTCTGATCTCCCAATACAAATTCCAGCTGGATTTTTTTTTTTTTGAGATGCAGTTTTGCTCTTGTAGCCCAGGATGAGAATAATGGCACGATCTTGGCTCACTACATCATCTGCCTTGCCTGGTTTAAGTGATTCTCCTGCCTCAGCCTCCCAAGTAGCTGTTATTACAGGTATGCACCACCATGTACAACTAATTTTGCATATTTAGTAGACATGTAGTTTCACTCTGTTGGTCAGGCTGGTCTCAAACTCCTGACCTCAAGTGATCCACCCACCTTCATGGTGGGGTTACAGGCAGGAGCCAGGTGGGCCTTTTTTTTATTAAGTTACCATCTTGCTTCTAAAAGGTCTACAGAAGAATAAGAGTTTGCAAATAGCTAAGTCAATTTTGAGAAAGAACAAAGTGGGCTGGGTGCAGTGGTTGGCACCTGTAATCCCCACACTTTGGGAGGCAGAGGCGGGTAGATCAGTTGAGGTCAGAAATTTGAGACCAACCAGCCTGGCCAACATGGTGAAACCCCATCTTTACTAATACAAAAATTAGCTGAGTGTGGTGGTGTATGTCTGTAATCCCAGCTACTTGGGGAAGCTGAAAGGGGAGAAAAAAAAGCAAAGTGTGCTGGGCACAGTAGCTGACACCTGTAATCCCAGCACTTTGGGAGGCAGAGGCGTGTGAATTGCTTGAGTCTAGGAGTTTGAGACTACCCTGGGCAACATGGTGAAACCCTGTCTACAAAAAATATCTTGGTGGGGTGGCACTCGCCTGAGGTTCCAGCTACTTAGGAGGCTGAGGTGGGAGGACTGCTTAAGCCCAGGAGGCAAAGGTTGCAGTGAGCTAAGATTGTGCCACTGCACTCTACCCTGGGCAACAGAGTGAGACCCTGTCACCAGAAAAACAAAAGAAAGGAAAAAAGAAAGAAAAACAGAGCAAAGTGATTCTTCTGCTTCAGCCTCCCAAGCAGCTGAGAGGAAACCTGTGATCTACGTATTAAAACATAATATTATAAAGCCACAAAAATAATAGTCTGTCTGTTTCCAGGTCACACTGACACCAAGAGCACAGATTAGAAAGTCTGGAATAAATACAGCTGTCCTTCAATATCCACCAGGGATTGATTGCAGGAATGCTGCAGACACCAAAATCTGTAGGTGATCAAGTCCCTGATAAAAAAATGGCATAGTGTTTGCATATAATCTATGCATATCCTCCCTTATAGTTTTTAATTTAATTTTTTTTGAGACAATGTCTCGCTCTATTGCTGGAGTGTAGTGGCACAGTCTTAGCAAAATCGGCCCTTCTCCAATAAAAAAATCTCAGAACTATAGGAAAAAAATTACAAAATTACACTCTGCATGCATTAGTTCAACATTGATTATATAGTACTACTACTTAAGCATCACATAGAAAAGATTACTAATAGTTTTAAAAATTGGTTTTATAAAGATGATACCGCTTAGTTGTTACCTTGATCGTATTGAACTGATCTCAAGCTTGCCTTTTCTTCTGGGGAATTTGTCTATTAGAAAATGCCAGCACCTCACAATACACAGTACCTTTCCAACTGATGCAAGAACCCAGTTTTCTGTTTTGATCTTGTTCTTCTAACGGTGTCCTGTCTCCCTGAATTCCAGAGTCCTCTCTGCTTAATGGCTGTTGATCATTTCCCTCATCACTTTCTCCAGACCAACTGGGATTTAAAAAAAATACACTTTAGCCTTACAAAGTATAACACTTAAAGCTGTTTATATTAAAAGACCAATAAGACTTTGAAGAAAAGCAAAAATTCTGAGGCAACATGGAACAAAAAAACTAAAACCAAATGAATTTTTCTAAATTTCTTGGAAGTGCCTATTATAGAAATGGAAATATAATTATTACTTTTTCTTTTTTTCTGTAACATTGAAATAATAAGGAATGGAATTATTTTTGGTGGCAAGTCTCAAGATCACAGGTCCTTAAGAGATACTCATATTCAACCCTTTTATCTTTTTTCTTTTTTGGAGACAGTCTCTCACTTTGTCACCCAGGTGACAAAGTGCAATGGCATGATCTCAGCTCACTGCAACCTCAACCTTCAAGATATTCATGTGTCTGAGCCTCCCGAGTAGATGTGATTACAGCCGTGTGCTACCATGCCCAGCTAATTTTTTGTATTTTTACTAGATGGGGTTTCTCACTATATTGCCCAGGCTTCTCTTGAACTTCTGGCCTCAAGTGATCTACCTGCCTTGGTCTCCCAAAGTGCTGGGATTACAGGTGTGAGCCAGTGTGCCCAGTGTGACCAAACAGGGTCTTTCTTTAAAATGTATTTTTTAAAAATAGACATAAGATCTTGCTCTGTTGCCCAGGCTGGTCTCAAACTCCTAAGCTCAAGCAATCCTCTCTCCTCAGTCTCTCAAAGTGCTGAGATTACAGGTGCAAGCCACCATGCCCACCCCCTTGTAACTTCTTAATTCTAGTGATTTGGCACAAAATCCTAACTAGACTTCCATGATAAATGACTCTAGATTAGTTAAGAGTGTTCCTGTTTTAGCTTAGTTGACCTACGGTGGAAAGACACATTAAAATCATCTCTATTACCTGGTGCGTATTTAAACTTTTAATAGCAAAACTACTGTCACTTACAGGTGTGTCCATGTCTGGACCAATGTCCATTTCTTCACCTTCCATCAAGTTATTTTCCCAAGTCGAAATCATCTGTCTTTTCTAAAATGTGACAGAAGAACTTCATCAGCTTTATTAGATCTATCTTTGAAAAGAAATCTCAAAACTAAAGGAAAAAAGACTAACAAGACTCAAAATAAAATACAATCAGATAAACATCTAAAAATATTGAAACATTTATTAAATTGATATTCTGAAACATTTAACATATTAATTAACTCTTTCTCAAAAGTGAGTGTTCTCTTTCTCCTATGGTTTACTGCCTTCATTCCTAATGGAAGGAGATGCTACTTTTCAGTTAGAGATTAGTACAATTTTTTTCCTAATCCAAATTAACAAATATCTGAATTATAGAAATCCCTTTCATATCCTATACTGTGATTAACTTTTGTCTTTTTCTTAAAGACAGAGGCTATAACTTACTCATTTTTGAATTTCTAGGGCCTAGAATTCTAAATGGCCACAATTTTTAAACACGAAAACATGAACTATTCATTTTTCTGATGGTTTAAAGCGTCATAACATTAGAGCACAGCCTATGCAACTAATGTATATGTACATAGCATGGGCTATGCAAAAAACGTTTTGCCTTTTTTATTATCACAGCCAGCAATCTGTACTTAAAAGAAATAAAATTTCACTACTGAAAACCGCATCTGATTCTATTCCAGTAAATGGCTTAATGGAACACCACTTTACCTATAATTTAGGTACAGGTAATGTAGTGTTAAAGTAAACAGTAACCTCTACTGTCTCTCCCAGCTCTAAAATGAACATCTGCCTACTGTCATTTAGAAACATTAATAGAAAAATAACTTGGGATTCAGCTTTTAAGTTTCTGTATTGTATAACCTATTTCACACATTGTATATTATACGTTACAGTTAAGAATTCGGTTTATTATTTCGGAAACTTGGCATGTTTTAAAAGAATCTGCAAGCCCTGTATTTCTATTATAAACTAACTAAGTAGACACTTTATGGGCTATGATCATTAAGGTAACCAGGATTACAGGTTTTGAAAACCTGATCATTACTCAAGAAGATTTTTACTGAAACTAAACAGGTAGAACATTAACATTCTTTTACTAATAACTTCATTATTAATAATGAACTAAAGCATTGTTTAATTTACATCTCCCATAAAGAAAAATAGGAGATCTCACTCCACCTAAATATCTAAACTCTCTAAGTCTTTAAAATTTAGTTACAAGAGGCCGGATATGGTGCTCACGCTTGTAATCCCAGCACTTTGGGAGGCCAAGAGGAGCAGATCATGAGGTCAAGAGATTGAGACCATCCTGGCTAACACGGTAAAATCCCGTGTCTACTAAAAAATACACACACACACACACAAATTAACCAAGTGTGGTGGCACACGCCTTGGGGAGGCTGAGGCAGGAGAATCGCTTGAACCTAGGAGGCAAAGGTTGCAGTGAGCCATCATCATGCCACTGCACTCCAGCCTGGGCGACAGAGCGAGACTCCATCTCAAAAACAAAACAAAACCCAATCAACCAAACAAGAAATTAGTTACAAGAGAAACCTCATTACCAATTGTATTAGGTGACTTGCCATGCTACCTGCCAGGAGCTGTGCAGGGATGCAGCATTCTAGCTGGAGTGGAAGCAGAGGAGACAGTAATGACAGGTTCAATCACTGTGCTGACCCGCGTTTTGGAAAAAGAAAAACAGAGAGGGAAATTGTACTGGTTGACCAAGGAGCAGGAAGCAGTGAGAATACAATCTCTTAACTTAAAAAAAAAAATTAGAGATGGAGTGGCTACGTCGCCCAGGCTGGCCTTGAGTACCACCTGGGCCTCCCAGAGCCCTGGGGTTGCAGGCGTGCCCCGGTAAAGAACCAAGTCCCACACTTACCCCAAAACTATCAGGAAAGCCTGGTCAGTGTCCAGTGGGCGGCGACAGGACCTGCAAGGGTTCCCCGAGACCTTGTCCGTTTCGGCCCCGAGCCCCGCCCTACCAAGTCCTGTTCCGGGGAACCTTCGCCCCACTGCGCGACCCCCAATGCCACCCCATGCCACTCGACCCACTCTGCGACCCCCGCAGCACGACGGCACCGCGACCCCCTCGTCCCGAGCCGCAACTGCCCCACGACCTCCCGCCTGGAGCCACGACGCCCCACGCTGCGCCACGCTGCCCTGCCCTGCGCCGCGACCCACAACCCCGCCCCGGGCCGCGACTGCCCCGCGACCCCCGTCCCGCGAACACCTGCGCCGCGCCGCCCCGCCCCGCGACCCCCCCGCCCTGTGCCACGATCGCCCCGCCACCCCCTGCCCGGAGCCGCCATGCCCCATGCCGCGAACCCCTCCACCGCGACCCCACGCCACGCCGCCCAGCCCCATGACCCCCGTAGCCCCGCCCCACGCCGCAACTGCCCCGCGACCCCACGCCACGCCGCGCCGCGACACCCCGCCCAGAGCCACGACGCCCCGCCCCGCGAGCCGCCCGAAGTCGCGACACCCCGCCCCGCGCCGCGATCGCCCCGCGACCCCCTGCCCCGAGCCGCGACGCCCCTTGCCGCGAACCCCTGCACCGCGACCCCACGCCACGTCACGCCGCCCCGCCCTGCGCCGCGACCCCTGCAACCCCGCCCCGCCCCGCGCTGCGACTGCCCCGTGACCGCCTACCCCGCACTGCGACCGCCCATCGACCCCCCCGTCCGGAGTCGCAATGCCCCACGCCGCGAACCCCTGCACCGCGACCCCACGCCCAGCCCCACCGCGTCGTGCTCCACACCTTAAGTTGGACGAGGCGAAGTTTAGGGCGAGCTGGAAGTTGGGGTCTGTCTCCTCCTGGAGGCCCGCAACACTCCAGACGAGCTCCGGCAAGTCGCGCTCCTCCTGCGTGTCCACCTGGCTCCAAGGCTGCCCATGCCGCGCGCCATGCTCTGCGCTCCTGTAGCGCGCGCCTGGCGGCTGTTTGCGCGAGAGTTCGCGCTCCCGCGACAGTCACTTTCTGAGCTGGCGGTTTTCTCCCCATAGTTCGAGCTCTCGTGCAGGGCAACTGGTAAACTGGCAGTTCTTTTCAGGACAGTTCAACCTTCCGCTGTGCCGGGTACGGCCTGGCGCTGTCCCTTGGCGGGGACTGGAGTGTGCATTTGCTGGTCGGTAAGTACCTTTCCCAGGGCGCGGTTTAGGGGTGCGGGGACCTGGAGTCCGGTTTAGGGGTGGGGCGACCTGGAGCCCGGGGCGGGAGCTGGGGACGCTGGGGCCAGGGCGATCCCGGAGGCTGCGCTGCCAGGGGGCTCAGTCCCGGCCTGCCGCCCTGGCCGGCCCACGTTCAGAGGACTACCTGGACCCCACGGAGGCCGCAGGGCAGACGCGGGCACGAAGGTTTCCTCACCTGGGTCTACGGCGGCTTGCGGGTCCTGGCACGGCCCAGGAGCGTCCTTGGCTGAGTGAGTCAGTCGGGCGGGCAGGGAATGCGCCAGGAAACGCTCGGCCTCCTCTACTTTCTCCCCGGGTGGGGGCTCTCCCGGCTTGGCCTCTTCCTCCCAGCGCTCCTCCGTCCCGGCTGCTGCCCCACCCCACCCCGGCCTCTGTGGCTCCCTCGTCCAGAGGGGCTTACCCCCGGGTAGCCCGCCGCCACCACCGCCGCCATTTCAATCTACAAAACAGACCCCAGTTAGCTGGGCATGGTGGGGCGTGCCTGTAGTCCCAGCTACTCAGGAGGCTGAGGCAGGAGAATTGCCTGAACCGAGGAGGCGGAGGTTGCGGTGAGCCGAGATCGTGCCATTGCACTCCAGCCTGGGTAACAAGAGCAAAACTCCGTCTCAAAAAAAAAAAAATAAATAAAAAATATATTTTTATAAATTTTAAAAATGTATTCCTTTTTGAAAACCGTAGTTGTATTATAACAGAAAATGGGCTCCAAACCATAAGATGCCTATGATCTAATATTTGTCTTTAACGTTTATGCTGGATTTGTTCATTTTTTTTTCATGTTATTGAGTATATAAAAGCTTACATTAATAGGTTTTTTTCTAACAAATTGAAATTTTATTTCGTACCGACCTTTATTACTGCTGATGATGCTTTTGGTTTTCCTTGAAATCAGTTTTCCTAAAAGTGCTAATAGCCTATTCTGTTTGTTCTATGAGGATATTTTTTTCTCTTTTTTTTTTTGTTGATGGCTTTTATTGTTCTTATGCTCAATTGTAACTATTTTAAAACACATGACCACTTATACTTGTGAACAGGTAACTTTAGTCTGTTTGCGTGCATTATGTTATTTTAAAACTTGAACTTATTTATTTATGGAAATTGCATCTTGCTCTGTTGTTCAGTCTGCAGTGGGGTGGTGTGCAAATTCTGCAACCTCACTGCAAACTCTGCCAGCTCACTGCAAATTTTGCCACCTAGGCTCAAGTGATCTCAGCCTGCCGAGTAACTGGGATTAGAAGCATGCACCACCACACCCAGCTAATTTTTTTGTATTTCAGAGTTTCACCATGTTTCCCAGGAAGAATTCTAATTCCTCCTGAGCTCAAAGGATCTGCCCTCCTCCCAGTGCTGGGATTACAGACATAAGCCATCATACTTGCCCACACTTATTTTAATTTTATTATTTATGTGTCTTTTCTGCTTTAGATACATAAGACTTAAACTAAGAAGTCATGATTGTAAGAATTTGAAATTCTTCCAGTCATTATTTTAAAAATACTGCCAGTTCCTGTCTTCTTTTAAAATTCTGATCAGATGTGTAGGCTTTGTCACTCTTTTCTTAACTGCCCAATAGTCGCCACCTTATAGTTTCTACTTTTTTTCTCTTTGCTACATTGTTTTCTTGTAATTTTATAAATTTTTTTCCTTTAAGTACCTTTTAACTAATCGAGTCAGTGATATATATATATGTAGAATATATATATGTGTGTGTGTGTGTATATATATATATATATATATAATTTTTCCCTTCCTCCCCTTCCCAATCAATTTCCTTATCATAATATTTGCTTATTATATGACTTGCCTAATATGTCTGTATTGCCATAGACTTGAGATAAAGGCTGTTTGCCCTTAAGGGTATTGTATGTGTGTCTTTTTTTCTCCCCTTGCATGTTTTACACAGAGAACAACACACATATTAGAAAACTTGCTTCCTAGATTAGACATAGACTTTGAGCCACAGAGGAATCTAGATGACAGCATAGACTCTTGGGATTAACATCTGAACAGACAAACTTGGATCCTAACACTTAACGTTTATATCTCACCAGCCATGACCTGGTATATGAGCATAAAAGATTCACCAGAGTTGCAACTCTTAACAATGTGTTCCTTCCTGTTTCCCGATGAGGGCCCTTTCATTTCCTGCTCCTAACACTTACACACACATTTGTGATGGTGAGGGAGTATGAGGCTGCCTTGGTGGGTTTACAGATGACTTGCTTAGATGGTCCTGCTCTGGGCTCTCCTGTTTTACTTCTGGTTGCCTCTTGCCCAGTAGCTTAAAACACTGGGGGGAAAATTGAGAATGGAGACAATTTCTGCATCTTTAGAAAAGATTTAGAAACTGAGACAACTTCTGCATCTTTAGAAAAGTTGGTATACAGCAGAACATCTTTCTATCTTGAGAGATTCTGGCCAACTGACTGCGATAGGGGACTGTCTTTAGAACTTGAGTTTTTGGTTACTAGAGTCCTTAGTTCTGTTAGGGTCTTTCACCAAAGAAATGAGGTCACTTCTTGAAGGTTTTATTCTTCTTTCAGTAAGACCTATGCAAAGACTTTTCTGCACTGCTGACTGCTTTCCTTTCTCTCTCAGGTTATATTAGTAGCTTTGCATACTTATGCAAACACAGCACCCATGCATGAGTTCTTGAAAAAACTGAATGTAGCCAGAGTCACAAGTTTGATAAAGTCTTTGTTTTTAATATATTAATTATGTGATCCCAGATCTGTCATTGTGCCTCTCAGAGACTCCACAGTCTCACAATCTGCACAATGGGGATTATGCTATCATCCAGCTCCAAGGGATCTCATGATACATGTACAAAACAATATTAATGACTCGGGTTGATATTAAACATAGCTAATGCTAAATGTAGAGAAAGAAACTACTAGGGATGGGACATAACATAAACACCTCTCAAACATGTCTGAATTTTATCACTTCAGTCTTGAGAAAGTCATTTCCCCTCTCGATATCATTTTTCAAAATCCATCATGAAGTCGTTGAAATTGAAAAACAAAATTTAGATATTTTTACACTTGTCTCACCTTGGCACACGTAGTGAGCAGCCTTTATGATGACTCATAATTTTTATTTCCCAGTATACATACCATGTGAAAAAAGTAAGTGGTTAGTGACTCACTGCTTATCAGTAGAATACACTTGAAAGTAGGGAATATCACTTCCAATATTTAATTATAAAAAGACTGTCACTAGGCTCTTATTTTATCTATCTTGTGTTCTTCTTTTCTTATTTCCTTCCTTTCTCTCTTTTGTAGTATACTTTGCTCTGGAGAAGCAAGCTTCAGTGTTTTGGGCTTTCCTGTTTATAGGCTTGTGTAGCAAAGAATGGAGGGAGTGCCCTGACCAACAGACAAAAAGAAACCCAGGCATCAATCCAAACAATAATGCCACAGCTAACCAGAATGAGCTCAGAAGTGCATCTTCCCCAGTCAAACATATGTTAAGACACAGCCTCAGTCTCACGAGGACCTTGTGGTAGACCCATTCAACTAATCTGTGTCAGAATTTGTGGCCTACAGAAAATATGACATAATACATGTTTGAAATTTTAAGCCACTACACATTGAGCTAATGAGTAGAATTATTTTTTCTAATTTTATTTACAGATTGCATATAGCTAGTGTACAAAAGTGAAATTTAATA